AGCTGTGAACCACCATGTTCTTGCTGGGAATTGAACCCAGGTCCTCTGGAAAAGCAGCCAGTGCTCATAACTACTGAGCCCTGGGGTGGTTACTTTTTAACCGTCAATTTGACGCGGCCTAGAATCACCCGTGGAAAAGTCTTAATTGAAGAACTGTTCCCATCGGGTGGGTGGTAGGCTTGTCTATGGGGAAGGCGTGTCTGTTTAAGTGGTGTGGGAACACCCATGATTGAGGAGAAAGCAATCAAGCAGGCACGCAGGCCTTTACTCCTCTCTGCCCTTGAGGGTGACCAGGCTCCTGACTCGCTTCTCTGCTCTGACGAGCCATCACCTGAAGGTGCCTGCGTGCGTGCGTGCGTGCGTGCGTAAGCCCCTCCTTCCCCAGTCGCCTTCTGTCAGGGCATCTTACAAAGCAGCAAGCTAAACTAGAGCACCTGCCTTCAGGGTTCTGTCAGCTGTCTGGACACGGTGACCCCAAAGTGACCGAAAGATGAGGAAGGGAGGCTCTTCTTGCCTGTGGACCCCCAGCTCGTCAGAGTGACGGGCAAGGCACAGTCATTGGGAGCAGACATCCTCATGACACCACAGTGACCCTGCGATCACACTGGCAGCCACAGGACGGAGGAGGGACCTGCCGTTGACTGGGGGAGTTTCGTGACCATTGCGACTTCCAGCCATAGTATTTTAATGTGAATGAGCCCTGACAGAAGGTTCCATGCCATTTACAGTCCTTTCATGAACCATCTTTTTAGAATCTTAGATCATACCCTCTATCTCTTAGAGTTCTTTGTAGAGCAGGCTAGCCCCCGTGGTTACCACAGATGTTGCCGAGAGTCCTCGGATGTAGGGAGAGTCGGGTGTCCGTGTGGTTATTGCAAACATTGGGAGATCTCAGAGGTAGAGCAGGGTAGACCCATGGTTACCACAAATGTTGCCTTTTCCCCAGCCGTTTGCCTTTCAAATGTTTCCAGGTTCCAGACATACGTTTTCACTTTTCATATAATCAAGCCTAGCCATGTTTTATCTTAAGGATTGGGCTTCACGCTTCTTTCACATAAAGCTGTTTCCCAGTCTCAGGTCAGGTAACTGTTTACTAGTGTTTCCCTCAGCTTTATGGTTTTTATAATTTATGCTATTTTTAAATTTGTTCAAATCTATCCCTAGGGTATCAGGGGAAACCTGACATTTCTTAACACTGTTTCCTGCTAATTAAAAATAAAAACCAGAGGGCAAAGACATGGCTCAGCAGTCAAAAGTATTTGTTCCTCTCCCAAAGAACCCACATTTGGTTCCCAGCATCCATGTTGGGTAGTTCACAACCACCGATACATCCAGTTTCAAAGGATTTGATGCTGTCTTCTGGCCTCTGTAGGCCCACACTACACACACACACACACACACACACACACACACACACACAAATAACTTTAATTTAAAAATTAAAACTTTCCCTGCATAAACCATATACTGTAAACAGAAGTTTCTGTCTTGCCTGGTCCTGCAGCTGTTCAGTCCCAAGCAAACACACAGAGGCTTATATTAATTACAAACTGTTTAGCCTCTTAGCTCAGGCTTATTATTAACTAGCTCTTACAACTTAAAATCACTCATAAATCTTATCTATGTTTAGTCGCATGGCCTGGTACCTTTCCTCAGTGAGGCATTCTTATTTTGCTTCCTCTGCATCTATAGATGACTACATCTCTGCCTTTCCTCTTCACAGAATTCTCCTTGTCTTGCTGCCCTGCCTATACTTCCTGCCTGGCTACTGACCAACCAACATTTTATTAAATCAATATGAGTGACAAATCTTTACAATATACAAGAGCACTCTCCCACAGTAGTATATGCACAATCTCTTAGGTTTTCTCTTCCATTCCTCCAGTTCTACAGGCCCGAATAGCGACCATAGATTGTCGATGCTTTGACACCTGCTGGGGTATCTTCTCCTCCTCCTCCACTTCCCCTCCCACAGCTTACAGCCTCTAAGACCGTACGTGTCTGAGTTGATCAGAGCTAGAAAGGCAGTCATGTACTGCCAGAGAACACACCCTCCTCCATCACGTCCTCTTGAGGAGCGCCACCTCTGTAGGAAATCAGAAGGGCTTACCAGTCTTGGCAACCGAGTGATAATGTGTGTCTCCTCACTCGGAAGGCTTAAGGAACCCCTTTTTCATCAGACAGCCTCCTAATCAGAGATGCTCGAACACACGTCTCCACTGTATTTTTTACCAATAATCTTGCAAAAAACATAGTGTTTGAAAAGGCGTAAACTCTTAAGATTTCATGCACTTATAGGCTTTTACCTCTCTCTGGCTCTGATAAAATACTGATAAAAGTGAGTTGGAGAGGAAAGGATTTACTTCATCTTAAACTTCCAAGTGATGTGCACTGTCTAGGGAAGCTGATGCAGAGACCATGGAGAAACGATGCTTTCTGGCTCTCATTCTGTGCCTTGCTCAGCCTGCTTTCTTATACAGCCCAGGGATGGCACTGCCCAGAGAGGGCTAGGCCCGCCTATGCCAACCAACCATTAATAAAGACAATGCCCATAAACATGCCCGCAGGCCAATCTGATAGAAGCCATTCCTCAATCAGGGTTCCCTCTTCCTGAGCGAGCCTGGCTTGTGTCTAGTTCATCCAAACTAAGCGGCACAGACAGGCTCCTGTCCCTCTCCTTTTTGAATCCCATTCATCGTTTACCCTCCGCTGTCTTTCAGATTCTTACTGTGCTCGGTAAAGACATTTAAGACACAGGAGGTGGGTGGCTCTGTTATGAACGTGTAAGATTTAGGAGGCTCTAAGTTTAGCTCATCCCTGTGGAAGGAAAACGTTAGGACTTGTCATAATATGGAAGAGGCTGTTCATTTGTAATGGAATTTGATGGAGTTTTAACTTCTGAATGGCATTTTCATCTCGTGGCATTGCTCACCTTGAGAGTCTATCTAGGGGGCGGGGCTGGAATAGAGAATGTCGGAATGGAACCTGAAAAGGCTCCCAATGGTCAAAGCTAGACAAGACCAAGAAAGCAAGACAATATTAGATTGTAACCTGAACAAGATAAATACCCACGTATTCTTATTGATATGAATAAATACATACTTTAGAAAATTCCTAGCAGTACCTACTGAACAAATGGGGAGAAAAATGGGGATTGGAACCCCAGTAATTATGCTATAGGCCCCAAGGATGGGTCTTGGGTGTAGCTCAGTCTACCTGCCTAGCACACATAAGATCCTGAGTTCAATCCCCAGGACCCTGAGGAGACAAGATCCAAAGATCACATTCATATTAGCTGTGGAACCCCTGCAGTCCAGCGTCACAAAATTCCCGGTTACCAGGATGCTTTTGTCCCTATAGGAGAGTTGTTTTTCTCTATCCAGAGCGATAGGGTGCACACCACACGATCCATCAAAATGTATACGGCTAGGGGAACTCGTCTGTTTGCACAAAGTACAGCAATCCGCTGTCCCTTTCCTGCATGAGGCAGGGCAGAGCGTGGCTGGGGTCATCACGGGAAGGACTGCCAGGTGTGTCTACACTAGCCTGACCGTGCCTGACCAGCTGTGTTCTCTGGCCCAGCGTGTGAGCCATTCCGTGGAATCAGAGATCCTTTGCCAGTGAGCTGCAGAACGGGAAGCGGACTAGAGACTGGCTTGGTACGCACACGGGACAAGCTCTCCCCCGATACCTGGAAGATAACTGGAACTCTGGTGAGAAGGAGAACATCGCCAAATGCCATCAAGCTTTAGTCAACGACCCCAAGTTCCTCCAGGGGGTGGACCTTAAGTCCTATCTTGAATATGGTCTGGACTCATAAGTCACTTAGAGCTGCGGTCCTCAACCTGTGGGTCACGACCTTTGGAGGTCAAATGACCCTTTCTCAGGGGTCACCTAAGACCATCAGAAAACAGATACTTACGTTATGATTCATAACAGTAACAAAATCACAGTTATGAAGTAGCAGTGAAAATAATTTTATGGTTGGGGGGTCACCACAACATGAGGAATTGTGTTAAGGGTTGCAGTGTCAAGAAGGTGGAGAACCGCTGGCTTCGAGGTTTTGGGGAAGGGAAACTCGGAAACTCTGGTGGAGAGAGCCGAGACCCTCATCCAACCAATCAGGGTCAGTTTCACCGGTAATAAGTCAAGATCCTGAGATCTCATGATGTGACGTGATGAGGGGTCATCCCATCTCAGTGAGGGTCTCCCTCAGGATCTATGATCCCAGTCCAATATAAAAGCACAGGAGGGTTCCTATTAACGGCATATTCCAAAATCCCCAGACAGTAGGCTTCAAAAGGTTCGTGGTCACAAAAAAAAAAAAAAAAAAAAAAAAAAAAAAAAAAAAAAAAACAAGGAAAAGCTGAGAAAAATGTTATCAGGAAGAAGAGGAGACAAGAGCGATCAATGTAGTTGGAACATGGTGTAACTGGGGTTGAAACAACAACAGAAGAGGCACAAGAAACTGATGACTTTTGGTGAGAACTGAATTGTATCCCCAGTCCATCCTTACGTTCTCCTATCTATCTAAAGAGATTTGTTAATTAGGTTTTCCAAAGTCGATGTAGTTGGTGTTTTTTAATTGAAATATTTTTTGAGACAGGGTCTCAGGTAGTCCATTCTGGTCTCAAATTCACTATGGAGCCAGCTGGCCTTGAACCCCTGACTCTCATGCCTCAGGCTCCTCGAGGCTATTATTATTACTTATATAAACATCGATGTCCCCGTGAGTACCATGTTGAGCTTATGGAGGAATATACGCCTCGTAAGTCCTTAGTAACTCTTACTTTTTGTGTTCTGTAATTTGATGGCTCCACAATTATCATTATCAACCAAATATAGAAGACAGCCTTTCTTAGGGAAAAACCCCCACTTCTCATAGTAATCTATTTAACCAGTGTTATTTGAACATACTGATATACAGTGTTTACATATTTTAATACCACATGTAACTTCTTTGAAAGTCGTTTCTTGAAAATAATTAAGAAAGCCAGGTGAAGGGGGATAAAAATATTTAATGGTTGAAATACGCTGGTGAACCCGGTTGCTTACACTGCAGTCCTAAGTAGGTGTGCACGTTGTTAGCAAATTCGGAACTTTCCAGATATCCCACTAAACATCAACCGTAGTCCTAAGCGACAGTACGGAATCAACACGATGAGATGCTCTAATTACACAAGGGGAGAACGGGCAACTGGGCAGCTGCGGGACTTCTGGAGCCATGGGAGCCTCTGACTAAAGAAAACGGGAATTAAATGCCCACCTGTGAGAGGAGCATGCACATTTAACTGGTTCATTTTCAAATACTTGCAATGTCCTCAACGGAGGGAATCGCTTACATTTAAATGAAGGTTTTAAACTGACTAGTGAGAGAGGGAGAGTTGTGAGACTCTATTGCCAACTTCACAGCTGAAAAAAAGGACGAAGGAGAAATGTCAAAGGACAAGAGACGATAGATTACTTCAGGTAATTCCTTTATACTCTAATACCAGGTTATAAATACAGTAAGGATTGCGTTATATAAAAACTATCAAAAGAGTATCAGTGAAAAGACATGACTTGTGTGAACTGGGTGGAATGGTGGCCCAGGCTGGGTGGCAACAGCCTTAGGCTCCCTCACTGGTGGTGACGCGGAGTCCCCCCAGTGAGCACCAAGTCCACCAGTTTCCTTCTGCTGCCACAACGCACAGTGTGTACCCATGGCTTTCACTACACACTAAGGATTTGGGAGAGGTGGCACAGCAGGGGACAATCTTGCAGGATTTGTTTGAAGATACAATGTCCCCGGAGCCAAATTCCTTCCAAATTCATGTGCAGGCTGTAAAAGGAAAAAAAAGAAAAGGTGGGGAAAAAGAATTAGCAAAACTCAAAAATCACAACTTAGATAAAAGCACATGTCTTTTTTTTAAAGATTTATTTATTTATTATGTATACAGTATTCTGTCTGCATGTATGCCTGCAGGCCAGAAGAGGGCACCAGACCCCATTACAGACGGTTGTGAGCCACCATGTGGTTGCTGGGAATTGAACTCAGGACCTTTGGAAGAACAGGCAGTGCTCTTAACGGCTGAGCCACTCTCCGGCCCCCAGAAAGCACATGTCTTAAGCCTGAAAATTATTTACTGAATTTGCCTGTAAGTAGAGCACATTTTCAACAGCCAATCTACAGCTACTTAAGATTTATTATTGGGCAGCATAGTTCTGAATGCTGATAATATTTATATAAAGAGATAAAATTGGATGCTGAGAAACTTATAAAAAATACAATTAAGAATTGAAATACAGAATAACAATAACCAAAGCAGGCCGCGTGCATATCGGCACCACACTCATAATATAGATTGTCAGCCGTACACGATCCCTTCCCGGAATTAACCTGCAGCGAGGGGCCAACCACTCAGCCTGTGGGGCTCCCCAGGGACACTGACGGAGCTGGTCCACACTGGCATCTGAGGGCCGTCACGTGAGCTCTTTTTGGCTGGCTCAGTTGAGAGCAGGCCTAGGCCACCACTAGAAACTACCTAACCATATCAGATCAAGATGCCGAAAGCCATTCATCGATTTGGCCCCCAAAAATAGCCGAATGAGCTCACGGGGTGAATTCCAGTCAGAAAGACGGTGGTGTTGGCCAAAACCTGCAGCTTGTCCTTTGTATCGAAAGCCCCCAGGGAACAGTCTTCCCGTCAGGATTCTGCCCAATGCCTAGCCTACCAGTCACAGATGTAGGTGTGTCACAGACAAATGGAACGATGGACACATAGCCACTCACGAAAATGGACAGCCAAGACCTTCAGTTGAGAAAACTTTTGGGGTAATTCAAGGCAAGGCACGAAGGAAACGGGATCAAACTGACTATGTGGAGATGCAATCAAAGAACAGGCTGGGATCCATGAGCAGTGAGGGAGTATTTCGGCCAGGTACCTGTGGGCGGTCAGCAGTAACTGCTTGACAGTCACTGCGGTAACCTTTGACCCCCACACAGAGGCAAACAGCTATCAAATCTCACTCCCCAGTGAGCAAGCTGGGGAAGACAGAGAGAGGGAGAAGAAAAGAAAGAAGGGGGCAATGAGGAAAGCAAAAGCTACCGTTTATTTCATTTAATCCTCACAACAACCTTCATGTCTAAGCAAAAGATCCAGTCTACAGATTATGAGACGGAGGTCACAAAGGAAAAGTAACCTGTTCAGCCAGTGGGGGAAGAGTCTGACTTCCAACAGAAAACGGACTCTCTCGGGAAACAGCACTCCTGAGTGGGGGCTGCAAAAGAGGCTGGGTGCGTTTGGTAAGAAACGGCACAGAGTGAAGAGCCAAACACAGCCCATGCTATGGGACCAAGAGAATAGAAATTCTCCCTCCCCACATACCTGCTCCTGTGTCAGCCAGGACGAGCACCCACCTCAACCAGTGCTGGATGCCTCTCCTCCTGAACTCTACTGCTACACGCTGTGTATACTGACCCCCGAGTCCTAGCCAGAGTCTCTGACTGAGACCTTCCAGCTGTCATTCAAGTTCTAAGCCCTCCTGCGTTTTGATGAGCCCTGATGTCTTAGGCAGGCATTCAGTTCACGCTGCTTAGTGAACAAATTACACTGGAGTTGGGAAAGACCGAAGTGAAACCATGGCAGTTCAGGAGAAAATGGACCTGGCATGCAAGATCTCTTAGACGCACAGACACTACAAGCAGTCCGATCTTTATGGAGGCTAATCACACAAGACAATTCAGTAAAAGACACAGTACCTCTTGACTGTCCAGATATCATGTTATCTTCCTCTAATCTTCGAGAGAAAATTAATAACAGTGTTTAGATCTTTTTAAAAATTCATTATAATTTCCCACAAAGCTACAAACAATATCATACACACATACACAGACAGATGGACACACACACATACATATACATACACACACATATACACAGACACACCCATACATACACACACACACACACACACACACACACACGCCTTTTTAAGGAAATAAGCCCCACACAACCCTTGCTTACTTTTCCGTACTGTCTTTGCTTGACTAGACACCATATTGGCAGCTTCAGAAGGCAGACCAACGTACACTCCACCATAGTTTCTTTAAGAAAGAAATTAGGTCAATTTAAGGACACTAGAGGGAGAGAACCATCAAAAAATAAAGGACGAACCACTCCAAACGATTAAATGATTGTGACGATAACTCATGACTTTTCAAAGATTCACGTGTTTCTATGTTAAAAGGAAGCTTTGGAAAAATAGCTCCATTAAATAAGCAAAAAAATTTAACTTCTTTACTTATAATGAGAAAGAAAAGAAACGGGCTAAGTACACATAGTGATGTATAGTTGAGTGATATGTGACCGGTGTCCATCACCGCTTAGGGAAAACTCAGAGATCCCTGTGGCATTAGGCAACGTGGATATTCAAAAATCACTTCCTCACAGGGAAAGACATGGACAGCCTGAGGCAGGATGCCAGGGAACGCAGAGCAGAGGGGACCTGAGGGAGCGCGGAGGTGAGGAGGGGGAGTCGGCCAGGGGCAGAACAGATGGCAAAGCCACACTCGCAGGGCAGAGCTGCTGGGTCGCAGCTGAGATCCTGGGTCTGGGCCTCTGCCATTTCAGGTCCCGTGTCCCTGCTAGTGTGTCACCTGACGGAGTGTGTCATCGTCCTGTGCCAGAGTGGTTACATCCATGCACTACGGCCAAAATCACTCACGTGACACGGGCTGCGACGGCAAACATACCTCCTCTTCTCTTCGTCCGTTATTGAGTCTTCTGTCCTAAAAGCCCAGAAACAGTTGCCGTGAGCCGTGCGGTTACACAGCAGACACTTCAGCTTCGGTTACAGGAGAAGGCGAGGTTACGGTGACTGGTTTCACATTTGCTACCTGCCTTGTACATCCACAGCCCAGCGCTCTGCCTGGCTCTGACCACACAGTAAAGGTCGGGTGATTTTCTACATATCAAAATAGATATGTTCAGCAAAAGTTAGAAAGCCCGGCTGCCAAACCCGATCATGGACAGGGGTCAGCCTGAGACTGAGAAAGCTGTCCGCCAGCCTTCGGATGAGTGACCGCTACAAGCTGCCTGGACTTTGGCTCTACGGTAAGGGCTCTAGCAGGTAACCCCTCAGTTCCTGCCTGCCCTCCCTGACATGGAGCCCCTTGTGTCCTGGAACAGCACAAATGCAGTAGTGGAAGGGGAAGAGTTAATGCCAATTTTATTTCCCTCTGTTCAAAGGATGGAGCCAAGTAAAATGAAGCTAGTCACTATCAACCAGTCCCTCCTGGGTATCAGGTAAGGATGAGACACAGCTGTGCTCTTCCAACACCTGAGAATTTCAACCCCAGACTTCAGTGCAGAGAATCCTGGAGACCAAAAATGTTCAGGTGGGCACTCATGCCCTAGGCTCCATGGCCTTTTGTGCAAGGAGAAAGAGAAACGTCCAAAACTAGCCCCAGCAAGAGATCACTGTGCTGGTTTCTCAGAGGTGAAGCTGCCTCCGTGCCAAGCTCAGGAAAGCACTGAGCATCGCCTGCCTCCCAACTCCACTGGCTCATGAGGCTATTCCAGACACCTTCATCCCCATCCTTCTCAATCGGCATTCACTTCCCTTTGAGGATGAAAAGCCATGGTTCCATAAGACGGAATGTTACAGCACAGAACAGAGACAGAGTCTGAACCCACCTGTGTGATTCCAGACTCGCCGAGCCCTGCTAATTTGTATTGGAGACACCGGCACAGCCCCAGCCCCAGCTCCAACTTACACCATCCCACTCAAGTGAAGAGGAAGCAAGATGGGGGAGAATCCTGGCTGGGCTGTAGTCATTTTAGAAGGAGCCCGTAGCTGCTGCTAAGAGTCATCATCTTAGCAAATTTTTCCTTTTGCTATGCCATTCCTTTCCCCAACCTATAGAGCTTTTCCCGACCAGCTTTTACATCAGAATCATCTGGAAAACCAGGTCCAGGCAGAGGAGGAACAGAAGCAGCTGATTGCTCTTGATGGATCTCCTCGGGGGAAGGAAAAGTCCAAGCCGGCATTCACCCAGCCGTCAGCAGAAACCGAAGCCTGTCCTAACAATATGAAGGTGAGCATACCTTCCCAGGCTTGGTGGAGTGGCTCTCCCCAGCCACATGGGCCTCATACAGGAAGAATGTTTTAGCAAGCTTCAGGTTCCTGGGAAGAGGGAGGCCTGAGGTTGTAGAGCCAAAAGCCCAAAAGGCCGATAGAACTGCCTTAAGGTGACGGGGTTTTAAGCTCCAGCTGAGAGTCCTATCTGTCCACAGTTAGCGTCCTTGCGCTCACGAACAGCCAAGCTGTGGAGCAAGCAGGTGAAGAGGTGCCCGCTGAGCTCAGGGAGCAGGAGTGAGAAAGTTTAGATTTCCAAGAGTCACCTTGCTAGGCTGCCCTGGGAAAGATCACTGGAATGTGACATTTTTCCGAAAGAAGCCCAGCACACACGAACACAGACACACAAATACATAGGCCGATAGCATTTGGGACGTGCCATTTTCTAGCAGAAGTCCTTCACATGTACACACGCATGTACATGAATACACACACGTATGTGTAGACAAACATATCCACACACACACAAACAAATATATGCAAAAGTGCAAATGCACATATACAAATACAAGAACAAGACATGCATACACGGGCACACATGTGCACACACGGAACACAAACACACACAGAAACAAACACGCCTAGCCTACCTAATGGGCAAGCGCCAAGCCAGTGGGAGATTCTGTTTCAAAAGCAAGGTTGAACCATACCAGTTGATGTACCAACATGGACGGAGGAAATTCTGCCCCTCTCCTAGAAGAATGGGCAATGGCTTCTAAGAGAGGAAGAATCAGTTTCCTCCAGGGTGGGTTCACGCATAGGTTCTTCAATCCCAAGGGGTTATCCCTAGACACACGTCCGTGTGAGCAACACTAAATGGGCTCAGATATATATGCATGTTTGAAGAGATTGTGAATCTGGGAGGGAGGGGGACATGGGAGGAGTCAGGGGGCAGGGTGATGCAGATGAACTGCTCAAGTATAAAGTTGTGGAAAAAAGTTAAATTTTGTAGTGGTATATTATTTGTATTTTGATAAATAAATCTTGCCTGAAGACCAGAAGTCAGGCAATGGTGACACACAACTTTAATCCCACGATTTGGGAGACAGAGTCACGTGAATCTCTGTGAGTTCAAGGCCACCCCGGGCTACACAAAATGAAGTCAGAAATAGATCTGGGAGCCAGTGGCTCACGCCTTTAATCCCAGCACTAGAAGGAATATAAAACAGGAGGAGAGAGAGGCTTAGTCGGCTTAGTCTATGGTCGCCTAGCCTTGCTAGAGGTAAGACTTCTCTAGTGGCTTGGCTGCCTTACTTTTCTGGTTTGAGGGTTGAACCCCAATTTTGCTCTCTGGGTTTTTATTATTAGTGCTACAAAATTTGAAAATGGCAGATGGCATTCTTGACGAACACTTCCCAAGGCCGTCCTCTGGCCTGCCCGTGCGCATGCATACACATGCACACAACCAAACACGCATGACCACCTGCGCATACATGGGAAAGCATACAGGTTGTGCTTCTCCCTTTTGCTGTCTGGCCACTAATGTATGACGTGGTATTGAGCGTGGAGTCTGCCTCCATCCCTGAACTGAGTGTGTGTCGTACAGTATATGGAATCCTTCTCATTTTCTGTTCACCAGCTGCCAGCACTACAAGATGGCTGATGAGCTGAACAGTGTGGTATGGGACGGGGTCTCAGTAAGATCAGAACATTGCAGAGCAGACGGTGAGGGAAACCAGGGGATTCATCTAACACACGGACAAACATGCTGAGTACAACGGGCCATGCCTCATAACACAAATGGCTCTGGCACAGAGAAACAATATTTTTCAGGACACAGGCTTTGACATGGAACATTTATTATTTTCCCCATACGCACGCTACTCCTTTCCGGTTCAAATTTGAGTTGCCATCAGGTGAAGTGTACAGTAACCCAAAATCACTCTCTATGATGAACCTGCCTCCTCTACCACCCAAAGGATAAGTTAAATCCCATAAAGTGTAGGAACGGTGCCTCTGTGAATTCATGTTTTCAAGTCTTCATGGAGAACATTAACCCCAGCAAGGCCCTGAGGATCCCCTCTGACCTGCCTGTTATCCCAGCAAGGAAAGAAAATTCTGCAGGCTTTCTCTGGGTTTCCATTTGGCCTTAGCGACAGTGACTTCAGAGGGCCGCTAGGGGATGCAGCCAGCTGGCAAGTACGCAATTCCGATTACAACTCTGAGAGCTCGGAAAGCACCCAGAGCGTGGGTCTGCAGACTACAACACCGGCCCTAACATCAACCTTGGCCCCAATTCCATTTTCTTTACTGGGCTACACAGGCCGCTCTGGGAATAGCGAGCAGGAGTTGCCACGAAGGTCCTCCAGTGCTCACGTCAACTCAGAGCCAGGAGCTGGGACTTGGTAAGCGGTCTAGCACCTGCCCTTTGCTCTGGGCACGGTTACATCAAAGACTCGGAGGCTTATCTCCAGGACGTCCTCCGGCAGTGCAGAAGGCTTCCTTGGAGCAAGCTGGCCTCCCTGTTACCAGGAGACTGAATCTTGGGTCTCAAGACTGAGACCAAGGCTCACACCTTCTCTACTGTGGTGACCTAGATCAGGTGTCTGGTCACATATGCAATCTTGGTTTTGTTTTTCTTTTAGAAAGACAAATATCATATGTACTCAGTCATAAGTGACTTTTAGACATAAAGCAAAGAAAACCAGCCTACAATTCACAATCCCAGAGAACCTATCCAACAATAAGGACCCTAAAAGAGACATACATGGATCTAAACTACATGGGACGTAGAAAAAGACAAGATCTCCTGAGTAAATTGGGAGCATGGGATCCATGGGAGAGGGCAGAAGGGGAGGGGAGAGGAATGGAGGGGACCAGAGAAAAATGTATAGTTCAGTAAAAAAAAATAAGATAAAAAGATTGTGTTTCATTTAATTATTCCTACCCTTTGAAAATTAATGTGGAATGTAGTTTAATATTTGAAAAAATGAGTGAAATATTTCTAGTCATTTACGGCAAGGTTAAAATGTTTTAAACGACAGGAACATTTCAAAGAATCAACCGCTAACCATTGGGAACGAAGTTTATAAAATCCATTAGCATTTCATTGAAATGGCACCTCTCTTTCTTTGTTGGCAAGAGCTTAGCTTCTTTTACCAAAGCACAGGTTTTCAAGAAGAAAGATGTCAGGGTTAAAGCCACCCACTGAGTATAATAATCTCTCCATGATTAAGACCACAGATTCCCAGAACTCTGACTCAAAACTCTGGTCACAACATCAATAAGGATGTTTGCAAAACCAGATATTACTGAAAGTGGGACCGGCCACTGTAACTGTTGGGATTGTGGGTACCTCCTCCGCTGGTAGTGGAGACATGATTCACACTGCAGAGGACCAGGACAATCATCGCATCTAAGATTACAGATGGTGCCTACTGAGCCCACTTGAAGCTACTTCCTGTGAGCGTGCCACAGCCAGCGTGGTTCTGTCTTCTGTATCAGACTCAATCACACATTGACTCAGACGCCACAAACCATCACACACCTTTCTGCTCCATCCTCTTCTTGTAGACTTTTCCTAAGTGAAGCAGAAACTGAACGTCTCCTTGGCCATCCATGAGCTCAGTTTTTTGGTAAGCTGACTTCTAGAAGATGGAACGCCTCCAACTGGCCACAGCCTGTGATTGTTCAGCAAAAAGTGCGCTCTCCTCCACCCATATTCGCAACAATGTATTTCATGCATGATCATTTAAAAAAAAAACAACCTTCTGTACAGGACATAATAAAATCTTTCAATTATTTTACACTATGATTTTCATTCTATCAGCAACTAGAACTTTCCACTCAAAGAAACCTTATTCAGCATTAATCCATCAAATATAGACTGTAAGCAGGCCTGGTGACCTAAGCAAGTCTGCCCAACTACTCAAAAGAGGGATGGAGGTTCGAGGGTTACAAGTTCAAGTCCAGCCTGGGCCACTTAGTGAGACATTATTTCAATATTAAAAATAAGAAGAGGGGCTGGGCTGTAAGTGAGCTCGCCTGAGATATGTAAAGCCCTGAATGCAATCCCCAGAAGTGCCAATAATGGTCACACATTTGTTTAAACTCCATTTTTTTCTTCACCAATAATACATGGTATTCAAAGTATCTTCATCATTGCATTTTCTCAGCTTCGCAGTTGAATGAGTGACAGTTAAAACGCCAAAGCCTTCGGTAGTAAAATCACGAAACCATGGCACGTTCCAAGACAAACGGTGAATGACTAGACACGGCAGCTGTTCCAATGAATGATCTCTAATCTCTCCGAGCTTTGGTTTGCCTGGAAACCAGGAGGTTCTCACTCCCTCTGCTTTCCAGAACGAACATAATATGTTCACGGCAAAAACATAATATGCTTTTTTCACTTATTCATCAAGAAAACCCGTTCTAAATATAAAGCTCTGCTTACAAAGCTGCTCTGAGAAGCGGAAAAACAACCCAGCGCCTGAGCCTCCCCCATCCATGTCTGGGTGCCACGGTGGAGGCCGCACTCACCTCAATTGGTAAACAGAACAATTGGTAAACAGCTCCACTCTGCCTGGCTGTGTTTTATTTTTCATGATGATCGTTTGAAACAGGTTTTTTGCTTTGTTGCAGGGGAGGTTCTTTAGGTTTTGTTTTTGGCTTTTGGTTTTGGTTTTCGATACAAAGTCTCACATGGTAGCTCAGGCTGGCCTCAAACCCTCCACAAACCTTCTATGTCCCCTGCTTCTGGACCATTGGGATGACAGGCGTGAACATCACACCTGGCTGGAACAGGCTTATTAATTGACAATGTATTTGCTTCTAAATTATATTTGCTGTAATTATATTATAATTCTCCACTTGTAGACGCAACTTTCTTTAGAATTTAACTTTCTTTTGAGTTTCTTTAATGGTGCCCCGGCTCCTCGGGTTTGAATCTGAAATCACCCCCCAGTAGGCTTATGTTTTAAACACCTGTGCCCTGCCCTGCCCGCCTGGAGGCACAATTTCTGGAGGCCACGGAAACATTAAGAGGCTAGTTGACAGAAGGCGTGGACCTTGGAAGGCACAGCCGCCTCTCTCCTTCCTGACTCAGGTTCATATCACTGTTTCCTGGTGATATGAACGGCTCTGCCCCTAGCTCCTGCCACCATGGCCGCCCCCCAGGAGGGACTGACACTTGGCCAACATCAGTCTTTCGTTAAGTCATTTCTGTCACGTGTTTGTTGCGGTTGTGGGAAATGTACCCAACGTTGTGGTGCAGATCGAATCCACCAAACAGTGATAGGTGATTTCCAACTGAATTATTCTTCTGCCAGGGACTGACTGTATGAGGTCTGATTCATTTGTCCGCAGCTTCTTCCAGCTGTTTGTTTTCGCTCTTTGCCTGGACGAGCTCCTCAGCCAAGACTGGCTGCATTCTTTCCCCACCCCCGGGGTGAACATAAGTATCATTGACTTCAAAGTGGGGACTTTCAACCTCGGCCCAGAGGAGAGTGACCAAGGGCTAAATTGCATCCCCAACCTTTCACTGAAGTACTAATTGCTCTCTTTGTGAAGAAGACCCACAGCCTTAGGAGGCAGTGGTAGAGCTATCAATTGCTATAAGCAAGGCAGGAAAACGCTGTCTCCTTACCTTCAGAAAGCTTGCCTTTCCCCCTGTGGCACCAGTTGTGCTCAGGGCCTCAAGGACACATAGCTTGTTTCCAAATAGCCCAGGATCTCTAAACACTGGACAGAGCCTCCTAAGCCCCTGCTGAGCTTTCAGACAGGGCCAATTCCACCAACATTCAGGAAGTCTCATCTTTGGAGTCAAGTGCCCCTGCTTAGAAAAACTCCAAAAGCACTAAAGATTATGGCTCTGACCCAAAGCCTTTCTCTCTGCCACTGCTTTGGTGGTGTTCAACCTCTCATGGTTTGAGCTCTTCTGTTCTTCCTTTTTTTCTTAACTATTACATAAATCATAAGAGTTTTTAATTTACTTTTTAAATAACAAATACATTTACACATTTATGGAAAACAGTGTGAAAACTGTCTGCTGAAGGACCTTTCGTTCTATGGTGGATTCTTGCACCAGAAAGCAGACAGCTGAGTAGAAGGAAAAGATGCTAAGAAGAGGCCTCCCCTAGAGCTAGACTTCTACAACGTTGACCCTTTATGCCTAAGAAACTGTCATGTGACCCCCAAGTATATTAGAACATAAAACAGGTATCCAAACATTTGCTGATAATACATTTTAAAGAAATGTATTCTTAAAGTTCATTTAATTTCCCCACATATTAAAGTAATTGGTTCACTAACGAAATGGGTATGCCTATCTATTTTCATCGAAAGAATCAAATCTTGAGTCAACAAGATGGTGCAGAGAGGAAAGGCACTTGCAGACAAACCTGATGGCCTGTGTTTAATCCCCAGGACTGACGTGCAATGAGAGAATCAGCTGCTGCAAGCTGTCCTGACTGCCACATGTATGTCGTGACAGGCATGTACACATGCACACACATGAACGTAATAAAAAAACCTTTTAAAAAATTTACCTACATTTTGGCTGGATATCTGACACTGTGGGACATTCAGCACCCCCAGCAGTGTCCAGTTTGTCATATTTTATTTTATAATAATAAACGCCACTTAGAGGGCCACTTCATTTAATACACAGAAGACGAGGGCACAAATGTATTTGGAGTCATTTCAGCAACCACTGGAGATTCAAGCACTATGCCAGGAATTTGAAGCAAGTGATTACTGCTTCTTTTGTGCCCAAAAGTCTCACATGAAATGGCTCTTTCATTTCTAGAAATCTTCATAACTCCACTCTAGTCTTCTCTGAATTCCTCTTCATAATTAAAAAAAAAAAAGTCTAACTCTATTCTTAACATTAGACCGCTGACAATTGTCAAGTCTCATTCTTCCCCCTCCAGCCTGAAACCTGCACAAGCTGTAGGAAAAGTCTGGCCACTTCCTCCCTGGGCCATCAGGAAGGTCAAACCCAGTTTCTGTGTAGGATCTCTGCACCCTGACCATTCCCCAACAAACACAACACAAACCAAAGGCATGCCCATCCCTCGCTCAATCCAAGCAGACCACTCTGTGTGCAAACCTGTTCTTCCCAGAAACCCTCACCCACTAAATACCAAACTTTTGCATCCTCTGGACACTGTGTGGCTCCATTATCTAACTAATCTGGGGCAGGATGGTTAATCCCAATCTCCATAGGTTCAGTGTGAATGTGTGGTGTCCCCCCGAAAGTTCTTGTGTTTGTGTTTGCACACTTGGTCCCTAACCGGCGATGCTGTTTGGGAAGGTTGTGGAACTTTCAGGAGGTGTAGCCTCGCTGGAGGAAGTGCTGGACTGGGGGTGGGCCCCACTTCCTGTTCTCTCTGCTTCCTGGATGCTGATGCAACCAGGAGCTTCCTGTCCTCATGGCCTGCCTTCCACCTGCGACCATGCCTTCCCTGCCGAAGCAGACCGGAAGCGTCCCTCTGGAACGGAGTCAAAGTCACCCTCTTCCCTTCAATTACCGGAGTATTTTATCACAGCAGCAGGAACGAAACTAGGCCAGCGTTGTAGCCAGAAACTCCCTGAGACAGTGAGCACCTGTGCTGGCCTTATATCTAGATTAGATATGATCCAGTAGAATGGCGGAGAAGGAGAGCAATGGACACACAGCATTCATGAGCACGAGAAACCTCACAGAGAGACGTCTGGTCATTAAGTCCTGCAGTCTAAAGATCAGTTCAACACAGATTATACAGAAGGATGTCCTGGGCCAGTTTCCACGGCTATAACAAAACACCTGATAGCAGGTAAACTTCAAATCATAGAAGTATGTTTGGGTTGTGGTTCTAGAGGCTGTGAAGTCTGAGAGCTTCTGCTGGGGACACGGTGAGACAAACAAAAACACATCTGGATGGTCTCTCTTCCCCTTCGTAGAAATCACTAATGCCAAGGGGACTCCAACTTTCATGACCCCATGGACCCTAACTGCCTCCCGAAAGCCTCAAAGTCTTAACAGAAGAATCTGGGGATTGACCGTCCAACACAGGAGCCCCCCAAGATGAACAAATGAAGACCCCCTCAAGATGTAGAAAACGACTGTGCAGTTCCCCTGAGTATCTTGGAATTTCTAGCTATTTCCACCCAAACGAGTGAGTGTCCACGTGAGTAAATGTTCCTCCAGTTTCCTCCCTGGATAGCTCTGAGATACACGGAGTCCCAGGAGCGATGCAGTGAGCGTTCTCATCGTCACCTGTTACGAACTCAAGTCTCTGCGCAGGTTGGGCTGGAAAGAGCACCATACTTTTTCTTGTTAACACGCTAAGTCAGAATGCCAGAATCACTGAAGGGGGCACACGAAAAGTCACAAACAGTAACATCCTTCGAATCGCACTTCGAATCAAAGGAGATCTACCAGTGCACAGAGCAGAAAATGTCCCCTGCCTTTTCTGCCATACCTAGTCCCCTAAAGGTCAGAGCCACAAGAAACAGCCTTTCTTGGGGAGAGGAGTTATAACACCAAAATGTGGAGTACTTACGCATCTTTAGCTGCTCCCGTTGGACCTAGGGGAGAAAAGAAAAAGATTTGCATTGGTGTGACAGTATTTCTACAGGTTAAGTCCAATACCTAAATAGACTGAAGCATGCATGTGTGTCTTTGGAGACAAGGTCTCACGCTGTGCAGCTCTGGCTGGCCTGGAACTCACTGCATAGACAAGGTTGGCTTCCAACTCACAGAGATCATCCTTCCTTTGCCTCCCATGTACTGGGATTGGTGTGTGCCCCAACACCTGGCACGAGAACACTTTTTAATAAACGTTTAAAAACGAAATCAAGACACCTCTGCATTCACTTCCCCTTGCAGGCTGGTGTCTACTCTGAGCTACTGGAGTCACATGACACACTAATCAGGAACAACATGGAGGTGGTAGATGCGATGAAGTAAGCGGTGTGGACACCAGCCTGATCCCAAGGCAGACATAAGGTGCTGTGAGTCTAGGTCCTCCCACTTCCTACCCACAGAGCAAGCACAGTCCAACACAGTCCAAGGCTCTTCTGGGCCCCGCACCCACCTCTATCTGAACAACTCCGAGGAAGGTGTTCTTACAAAGTAGTTGATTACATACGGAAGAGACACTGAATGCCATGTAACTAGACAGGGTTGAAGCCAAGTTCTGTGTCTTCCATATAGGGTGTGTGTGTGTGTGTGTGTGTGTGTGTGTGTGTGTGTACTCACTGCGGGTGTACACATACATGTATGACTGACCATGCATGCATGTGTACACATATGTGTGTATATGCATGTGTGTATGTGTGCATTTGGTGGGGGAAGAAAGGGGAAGAGACTGACAGACAAGCAGGTAGAGATACTTTGGAATTGAAAATACTTTAAACCACCACCCTAAAATTTAAAAAAAAAAAAATAAGACAATAAAAACAACCAGGGAGCCGGGTGATGGTGGCGCACGCCTTTAATCCCAGCACTCGGGAGGCAGAGGCAGGCAGATCTCTGTGAGTTCGAGACCAGCCTGGTCTACAGAGCTAGTTCCAGGACAGGCTTCAAAGCCACAGAGAAACCCTGTCTGGAAAAACCAAAAAAAAACAAAAAACAAAAAAACAAAAAAAAACAAAAACCAGGGACAGGATATTTTGATCATATAAATAAATAAATAATCAACAATCGATGCTTCCGAAATGAGCAATTCCGGAGTTGAAACAAGTGGAGGATCTAGAAGAAAGGCTAGAAAGAAATAATAACCATCTTAGTTTTATTCATGGGATGGGGTAGAGAGTGGTTTCCCCTTCCTCGTGTGGTGGGGGAGGTGTGAGAAACTGGGATTCACATCCTGAGTTCAGGGTCACTGAAGAGACCTGGGACAATCGCGCAGGGGCCGAGCCTCAGAAGTCACTGCGGCATCTCAGGGATGATGCCGGGCAGGCTCAGCACAGAACAGTCCCAAGTGGTGTCCTTGTCCCCTCTCCAGTGTCTGTCTAAGAGCCGCTAAATCTTTATGCTGCAGTGTCTTGTGACTGGGACATCCTGGAAGACAGAGCAGCTTCGAGGGCCAACCACCACGCTATCAGCACTGACTTCAATCAGCCACCAAGAACTCTCCATCCATCCTCTTCACCTTGATGGCACCAGGCCCCCCGGTGCCATTAGAGCGTCTCCCTGCTGGGCTCCCTGCTGGTGAACTCACAGCAGGCTCAGTGGGAATGAGGGGTGTCACCTTCCAAAAGGAGGTCCACGTGAGGGGAGCAAAAGCAGGATTTGTAAAGTGTGCCTCACTTTCAGAAGGGGGAGGAATGGCGCCCCTGAGAAGCCAAGTAGCAACCAGGGTACGAGAATTGGCTCCACAGTGCTTCTTTTCAGAGGTTTGGTTGGTTGTTTTTTTTTTTTTTTAAGATAATTGTATAATTGTTTGGAAACCTGTGAGAGAATTACCAGAGTACATAGGTACATGAAATGTGACCTTTAAACCCATTTTACCCGGAAAAGTGGCAGGTCATAAAATGATGTTTTATATTATTAATATTTGAACTTTTTTTAAAGGTTAGAAATAAGGGGCACAGCTATGAGCACCAAATACTAAACACCGGAAGTCGGGCTGTTCCTGTCTTACGACGCAGAAAGATGACGAAAGCAGGCTGGCGAAGTACCTGAGGCGCCTTCTCAAGTTCTAAGTCTCAACCCTTGTGGGGCGGTGAAAGACCCTTTAAGAGGGGAAGCCTAGGACCACCTGCCTGTCGGGTGTTTGCAATGAGAGTCACAGCAGTGAGAAAATGACAGGTGAGAAATAGCAACGGGAATTATGTTGTGGTGGGGGTGGGGTCACCACAACATGGAGAACTATTGGGAAAGTTGAGAACAGCTCGCTCAGAGAAGTCTCTCCTTAGGTCAGATCCATTCGCACTGAAGATCTTAATCTCACGCTATTTTTGAGAAACTGAGTCATATAGGAAACCGTTCCCTGCGGACTGTGCTTATGAGTTAAAAGTTTTATTTTGATAATAAAAGGAGCTTAAATTCAGAAACTGTTATTTGTAAGGCTCAAACTGAATAGATAAAAGCTTTATTTAGCTTCTTGTATATGTTTTCAGGGTGAAGCCTAAAGCAAAAAACTAAAAACAAGCAAGGTTTGCTTAGCTCACACATACCTAATAGATAATGGTCCTCAAACTTCCCAAAGATCTGCCGAATATGGCATTTAAAATGTTTAATGGGAAAGCTTACTATGACAGGGACCCGCAGCTCCTAGCAGTGGCCCCGAGGTCTCCAAAGAAGATGCTGCAGCACCACAGAGACTCCATCTGGATTGTGGTAACGCTGACCACAGGGCAAGACTGCCCTAATGCCACACCTGCCGCAGAACCTGGCCCAAACTCTGGACAAGCAGGACATTGAGAGTTGGCTGCCCCACTTTGCCTAAACAAAGGAAGGTCCGTCTCTCTCATGTTCCTCCCCCGTGGGAAAACCTCTCACTTTCTGGGCCTGGCAGGTGAAACCTGCTGTTGCCCTGGAACCTCTGCTCCCAACTCCACGGAGATCACAGGAGCCTGGGATGGCAGTCTAATAATTGGGCTAGTCTCTGTCATTTTAACTGATACATTTGGATTGTACTTTCTGTTACAATTTATCCTTCTCAGATCTCTGGTGGGGTCTCTCTCCTGGTCTTGGGACTCCACCCTTCCCCAACTACCAGGCCAATGGACCTAAAAGCTCCAAATGTAATATTTTTCTTTATGTCCCTAAACTTTAACTCCTGTTCCTAGCCTATATCTGCCGCGGCAGATTTCCATTTGGCTGACAGACACCGTCCCAGAATCAGCTGCTAACTACATCCAACTCCAAATAACTATGAGCTCTAGAGTTTCTGAAAGCTGATGTGGACCAGTCCAGCTGATGTGATCGCTCCCTGTCTCTTCAGCTGGGTCAGCTAACCAGAGGCTTCTGATGAACGTCCCCTTGCCTGAACTCTTTCCTTACCTTTGACTAGCATTCCAGTCTTTCTGGGCTCTGACAAGATCCTAGCTTCAGCAGGAAGTAGTTACAGAAGAGAGAACATCACCCCTTATCCTGCAACAGGCTGGGATGTTAGAGCAAAAGAATACTTCTTAGTATGGGGAAAGAATAGTTATCAATAATGCCTATTGGCATACCAGGAAAAGTACTTGTTAAAATCGAAAAGGCCCAGATCTATCAACAGGTAAATCCATTAGCTGATATAGCCTACAATATGGTAGGTCACATGATCTGCTGTATGTAAAATAGAGAGGTTATTGTACAGCTTTAGGAGAAAATTGTTTCTATGTAAACCACTCATGAATCATTAGAAATAGTCTTGCTGGACTAAAAAAACAAAAAAATCATTGCACGCCAGGGGACCTGAGAGGAAGTAAGTAATTGGTCCCCATTCTCATTTCCAGGTCCCTTCTAGACATAGCTCTATTGTCAGCCTCTGGCCCTTCTGCTTCTGCTGACTGCTGTTGGCTCTTGCATCACTGATGCCTTAACTGAATGCTAATTCCTGTCTGGGCGACATTAAGCTGAGGGTTATTAGATCCCAATAAAAACAGGTACCATCACAGGGTCAGGGATTTGACTCAGGATACAACTCGAGGTGGGGGAAGGAATGGGAGAGCCAAAGTTACATTTTAACTCCTATGCCTCAGAGATCCATGGAATGAAAATGAATGCCTCTGATCTGCAAGCCCCTTGCCAAGGACTGATAGACAGTTCCTGAAATGCTGGGGACTACTGTTTATGAGAGATAACAAGTCTCACGCTTTCGCTCCCTAAACAAGTTTGTTTAAGTCATGTTCACTACAGGAGCTTGATCACAGGTGGGTGGGAGGTTCCGACCTGGGCAGGAAATACCTCAGGATGTATGCTCGCCCCTGATTGGACCTGGGCAGGAAATATGTCAGGATGTATGCTCGCCCCTGATTGGACCTGATGGAAATACTTTAAGATCCTACAAACCATGACTCAGGGCCATTTCCTGGGAACCCAGGTATGGACCTGACCGGAGTCCATCTACCTGGCCAGTATTTAATCAAAGCTTGGTTCAAATTTGGCTTTAAACTGCCGTCGTGGTCTTATTCTTGACCAGAGGGATTAACGCCAGCATCACTAAATTAATTAGTTAATTAATTACTTCACTTTGAGGAAGAAACTCATGGGAAAATTCATATTTGGAGGGATTGACTGTGACATGTCTCACGTTCTAGGGACGCAAACAGAACGTTGTTCCTGGAGAACCATCAGGCCAGCGAGGATGCAAGGCACCACGTCAGCCTGGTAGCTGAAGAAACACACACTTCGTCTTGGTTCCAACAGGCAGATGACCCTTTGAGGTTCCTCCATACCGAGTGAGTATGAAGAAGAATGAATCAGGTGACCCAGATGTTCTTAGTATTGTTCAAATTTACACACTTGTTCATAAGAGAGGTTCCTCACACTAGCCAAGAGAATACTTATCCCCCCCCCCACACACACACACACACACCCACTCCACTATGAAGCACTGGGCATCAAAACCAGCAAGCCAAGAAGAAGTACCTGTCACTCAGCAACACCACAGCCCAAGAGATCTACACTGAGCTACACCCCATCTCAAGAGGTCAACCTTGCCGGGCAGCGGTGGCGCATGCCTTTAATCCCAGCACTCGGGAGGCAGAGGCAGGCGGATCCCTGTGAGTTCGAGGCCAGCCTGGTCTACAAGAGCTAGTTCCAGGACAGGAACCAAAAAGCTACGGAGAAACCCTGTCTCGAAAAATCCAAAAAAAAAGAGGTCAACCTTGAGCCATATCCCAGCCAAAGAGGTCTACACTGAGCCACACCCCAGACCCTTATCCCTTCTAAGAGAATAACATCCATTTATTTTCACATTAGAAAAAACATCTAGTACAGCTTCACAAACCTTCTTAGAGTATAAGCAATCAGAAACCTAAATACCTTTGGTACTTATGGGAAATGATAAAAACACGCAGAACGTCTCACTCTGTTTTCTAAAAGAAAACTCCTGCTGAGAACTGTGAAATCTACAGGAAAAAAAAAAACTAATCTTCTCTTTAATGTTAACACTTTTATTTTTTAACACTGGTCCCTCTGACCGGCAATGATTCTAAATCTAGATCATGTTTTCTCCCTGGTCAGAGGAAATAAAACAACAGCTCCTTAGTTCAAGACAATGGCTTTTGGCTTTTCTTTTTAAAAGAAGCCAGCAAAAACAATACGGATTCAAAAGCTGCATTTATTACAGTAATGAAGAGGAAATTTCAGGTCAACACGTCCTGGCGATAGACAACTGTGTCAATGAGTGGTGACGTTCTCACAGAACACTAACTCCTTGTCTCTGGGTTGTCCTTATGGTGTTTTAACTTTCGAACAGTGAAAAGCAAAAATAAACAAAGGTGGGGCTAGGGGGAATAGGGTAGTGGGTAAGAGAGCTCGCTGCAGACCCACGTGGACCTGAGTTCAAATCCCCAGCACCACATAAAAGCAGGGCACGGCCAAGCGTGACTGCAACCCCAGCACTGGGGAGCCTGCTGGACAGCCAGTCTAACCCAGGTGAGTAGCTTCAGATTCAATGAGAGACTCACTCAAATAAGGTAGAGAAGGACAGCAGGCTATTTGGTGTCTTCCTCAAGCTTCCAGGCACCATTCACACACAGGCACACGCACACCCACACACACACCAAATAAGGTAAAAAACATCGACACTAAGCTGCTGTAGCATAACCTCATCCATGGCCATCCACAGAAAGTCCCTCGTGGTGGAAGTGATTAACTCAGCGGGTCCCAGGGTCAGCTCTGAGGACAGAGGATGAACGCCGTGACGTGAAGGATGAAAGAATATCGTGATCCTCTCTGAGGTGACTGCCAGTTCCCTCCTCATCCCTGCCATTTCAGACCTTCTCCCACGCCTGCCACCTTAGTCTCACAGCGAGCCGCGCCTCCTTCCTGCTACCCAAACAGCTCCACTCACTCGCTCATCCTCTCCTCCGTCCACACCTGCGTCCCTCGCTCCGCAGCCAGTCTTCCGGGTCTGGCCTCTGGACCTTCACCTCTGGACCTCGGCCCAGACATTCTCTGCACTTCAAAGGCTCCATTAACCTCTTTGAATCCTGACCCTTCTGTAAGCACACACCTCCTCCCCTTCAGTGTCATTTGTGAATGCCCTTCCCTGTGGAACTCTAACAAGCCCATTCAATGGAGGAGGCACTGTTTAAACCCCGTGAAAACATTAGCCCAGTGACTCTTACTAGTTATTCCAATTTTACAGATTCTTCAAAACCCATCGGGTCCCATCCCTTGCAAGCAGGCTTTCCTGACTGTTCAGGGTCTCAGCTCATTTTTCCCAATTACTTCGTCAGTCACAGAGTGCTCGCGCAATTTAAAACTTCATTTTCCATTGTATTTGTCTCCCAATCATACTCATTCATTCATTCAAATAAGTATTTTTAGAATGCTAAAAAAAAAAATTCCATTATAAGTTTTGAGGTTGAGGAGTTAGGGCAGTTTGGCTGCACAAGTGTAAGGAATTTGATCCACGGGGAAGTCACGCAGAGAAACACATGCCTGCAACCCCAGTGTTTGTGGGGAAGCAGAGACAGGGTTCTCAGAAACCAGTCTAGTTCAAACCTAAGCCCCAGGTTCCGGAAGGTAAGGTATAAGCCAGGTAAGTTATAAGACAGGTGCACGCCTTTAATCCCAGTTCTAGGGAGGCAGAGGCAGGCAGATCTCTGTGAGTTTGAGGCCAGCCTATTCCAGGACAGCCAGGCCTGTTACACAGAGAAACCCTGTCTCTGGTTGGGGTGGGAGGGAATTAAGGTGTAAATCAATAGATTTACTTGCTCGGCATGGTGGCGCATGCCTTTAATCCTGACACTAGGAAGGCAGAGGTAGATGTATCTCTGTGAATTCGAGGCCAGCCTGGTCTACAAAGCGAATTCCTGGAAAGTTAGGGCTGTTACACAGAGAAAAAAAAAAAAATAGAGGAAGACTTTCAACATCTGGCCACCACATCTGTATATGTAGACACATACACACACATGTACACACACACACACACACACACATACATACATACACACTCACATTGATTAACTGATTAATTAATTAAAATACAATTATTTAATTTTAGAGATCGGTCTAGAAGCCAAGGATACTGCTATAAATAAAACAGAAGGGGCTCTCAGGAGGATGTCCCTTGCGGGAGAGAAACACATGAGACAAGTAAGGACAAGACAGCTGCTCTCCAGAAAATGTGCTTCAGAGAGAAAACAGAAGTGCCCGTGGCCTTGCCAGCACTAGAGGCAGGAGGAGAGAGTAAGGTAAGATACAAAAGACCACTCTGATGACGTCATCCAAGTCTTCCATCACCCCGTCACCCCAGGCATGGGCTAAAGCTAAACACCAGCAGCCTGCTCCAACACTAACAAACCATCTACTGCCACCAATCAAGGCTGGACCCTGGTGCTTACATTAAAGGAAAAACAATTACTTAACTAATTGAGGACAATGCGGTCACTAATCTAAATAACTGGACCCCAAAGCATCATATCAACTCCCCAGGGGCGCTGGTAAAATGAGGTGATTGCTAAGCTCCTCCCCTTCTGACTACCCTTACATTAAAATCAGAAGCATTGTGACCATAAGCCGCCCACAAAATTAAGGCCAGATGGTTGCCCATTGCCTATCTCTGGTAAAAATTACAGCTGGTTCAGATGGCACACGCCGAATGCTTCTAAAACCACTGCCCGGTTATTTTAAAAAATTAGAAGCAATTAGCCTGCACAGAAGCAGGGCAGTGCCGCTATCTGGGAATCCTGGGACTTTTTTCATGTGTGTGTGTGTGTACATATATATGCACACGTGTGTTTGCGTGTTCGTATGTGTGTGGGTGCACAGGCGTGTGGAAACCCAGGGCTGACATTCTGTCTTCCTCAAGCTCTCTCCACCTTATTCACTAAAGCTAGCCAGCTTGTCCGTAACCCCCAGCATTGGGGTGGGAGCAGCTTGCCTGTAACCCCAGCATGGGGGTGGGAGCAGCTTGCCTGTAACCCCAGCATGGGGGTGGGAGCAGCTTGCCTGTAACCCCAGCACTGGGGTGGGAGCAGCTTGCTTGTAACCCCAGCATTGGGGTGGGAGCAGCTTGCCTGTAACCCCAGCATGGGGGTGGGAGCAGCTTGCTTGTAACCCCAGCACTGGGGTGGGAGCAGCTTGCCTGTAACCCCAGCATTGGGGTGGGAGCAGCTTGCTTGTAACCCCAGCACTGGGGTGGGAGCAGCTTGCCTGTAACCCCAGCATTGGGGTGGGAGCAGCTTGCTTGTAACCCCAGCACTGGGGTGGGAGCAGCTTGCCTGTAACCCCAGCATTGGGGTGGGAGCAGCTTGCCTATAACCCCAGCACTGGGGTGGGAGCAGCTTGCCTGTAACCCCAGCATTGGGGTGGGAACAGCTTGCTTGTAACCCCAGCACTGGGGTGGGAGCAGCTTGCTTGTAACCCCAGCACTGGGGTGGGAGCAGCTTGCCTGTAACCCCAGCATTGGAGGGGGAGCAGCTTGCCTGTAACCCCAGCATTGGAGGGGGAGCATCTTGCCTGTAACTCCAGAATGGGGGCAGTTTGCCGGTAACCCCAGCATTGAGGGAAAGCTTTCCTATAATCCCAGCATTGTAGGGGGCCGGCTTATCTGTAACCCCAGCTTTGTGGGAGGGCCTTATACAGAGGCCAAAGGCTCATTGGGATTTCTGGGCCAGAACAGTGAGCCCCAGGTTCAGTAAGAAACTTTGTCTTAGAAAATCAAGTGGAGAACGACAGGAAAAGATGGAGTTACAGGTGGCTGCCACACCCACCCAGCTCTCGTGTGCGTTCCAGTTCCCACACCCACGTGGCAAATGCTCTAACCAGAGCAATCTCCCCTGGCTCCAGTGGAATTTTTAAGGGATTTTTCTGACTTACTTAGAAAGGGATTTTTCTGGTTCACACTCCAAAGGCTCGCTTAATAGTGTATACCTATCCGGCTTGTATACATGCAGGAGTACCCGTCTGTGAGTGCAGGCATGCATGAGCGTGTGAAGGTCAGAGGTCAGCCTTGGGTGGTTTTCCTCGAGGCCCACCCATCTGTACTCACAGGATCCCCCCCTGGCCTGGAACTGACTGAGTACGGTAAACTGGAGGACCAGCAAGTCCCAGAGATCCTATCTCCTCTTCCCCCAGCGCTGGGATTATGTATACCACCACCCTTTAGCTTTCTTTTTTTTTTTTTTAGAATTTTATTAATTAATATTAAAATCATTTGGAGTCTCAACATAACAGAAGAATAGCAAGAGAAAGATATCTGAAACATGTTTCTTTCCTTTTACATGTCAAGTATTTTCTTTTTTTTTTAGATTTTTTTTAAAGATTTATTTATTACATATACAGTGTTCTGCTTGCATGTATGCTTGCAGACCAGAAGAGGGCGCCAGATATCATTACAGATGGTTGTGAGCCACCATGTGGTTGCTGGGAATTGAACTCAGGACCTCTGGAAGAGCAATCAGTGCTCTTAACCTCTGAGCCGTCTCTCTAGCCCCTCAAATATTTTCTTTTATCATCCCCAGATCTTACAACTTTCATTTACACATCCTAATAACTTGCATTTCCTAAATTACCCCTTTAGTTTTCTTTACACCATTCTGAGGATCAAACTCAGGTTTCAGTGATTGCAAGCATTTTACCAGCTGAGCCAAATCCCTAGTCCTCTGTGTAATTTGTTTTTCATTTAGCTATTTACTTGATTATTGAATTTGGAGGTAAGATCTCACTATATAATACCTGGCTGGCCTAGAATTTGCTTTGTAGCCCAGGCTAGCCTCAAAATCACAGAGATCAATCTGTCTCGGCCTCTTTCTTTGCCTCCTGAGTGCTGGGATTAAAGGAATGAGCCACTGTGCCCTGCCCGCCCCATGATTTTGTTTTTTAAAAGAGACTGAGTAAGGACTTCGGTCTTTGCCTCCTGAGGGAAGCGCTGGAGGGCGAACACACAGAAGGGGTTCCTGGCTGCTTGGGCAGGGGCACCCCAAAGCTCCCGTGTTGGAATAAATATCCAAACACTTCCAGACAGACCACTTTATACAGCGGTTTCTCCGGAGAAACGTGCTAAAACATCACAGAATGGGAACCGCAAGCATCCATCTTCCATAGCTCTGAGTTGGAAAAAATCAAATTCCTGCAGGGAGAAAGTGCTCCTACCAAAGCATCAAAATGAGCCACACCTGAGGGTGGTGGGAAAATTCTGGAACTAGGCTGTGGAGACCAAGGCAAGACGATCGGGGATTCCAGAATTAAATAGAGAGATGGGCAGGAGGAAACTCTGCAGGGCGGTGGGACAGTGCTGAGTTAACGTACAAATGACAAGATCCCGAATTGGACAGACAGCACTGCAAGGGAAAAATGGGGTGTGGGGGGGGGACTTAAAATGCAAAGCTCTTGAAGGCTCGAAAGGGTCTCCATCTGCATCAACAGCTCAGCTCCTCCAGGAAGCTCTCTGGCGAGCACTGTCGCGCAGGTGTTCTATGTGTATTCTACGTACAAGGTGCAGCAATTGCCCTCACACACTCAGCCTCCCTGCTCAGCCCCTCAACAGTCAGGAAGCTTAGCTGCACTTTCCAGTCCTCTCCTACTGGCTGTCCCATCCCCTGCTCTGCACTGAGGTTGGAGCATGGGTGAGCTGAAGTCGAGGGCACAGGGGAACCTGAGCCAGAAAGAGGCTCCGATGTGTTTCCTCCCTCACGGCCATGCGGTACATCCTCCACCTTCTCCACTAATGTGGCATAGAGAATCACATGTACTCAAGCCCATGGCTGCGTGTCAACCCGTCATATTAGCCAAGTTCGCCAGGCCGCAGCCAAGAAAGGCAAGGGTCCAGATAGCCGGGAGAAGAGAGAAATAATCATCTGTTTTGCCTGAATACATAGGGAATAAAAGGGTTTATTTGAGGCTAGCCCAATCTACATAGCGAGTTTCAAGTTCCAAGTGAGCCAGAACTACATAGTGAGACTGTCACAAAAAAAAAAAATTAAAATTAAGTTTATAATGGTAATTTCAGGCCTGTTGAGACAAAAGTAGATCTGTCATTTTCTTGTAGAAAAAAAAAATATTCACCGAAGCCATCTTTTCAACATACTAATAACTTTTTACCGCAATATAATAATCTCATTTTACAGTGTTTCCCTCCATTATCTGATTTGGAGTTTCACACTGGCCCTAGGAAACAGAGTTCATCCAATTATCCCCCACGATACAGATAAAGGAAGCAGAGCTCAGAACGCAACGAGCAATGCCCACAGCCACGCAGCCAGGCAGAGCAGCAAAGCCAAGGGTGAGTCTAAGCTCCCAGTTCACGGTCACCAGCGTGACGCACCTCTCTGTGCCTTTTTAATCATTTAACTTTGTTCAGTGTGGCAACTGAAAAGTATAAAATGTTGAGAGCAGGATTTCTAGGACATTTTAGTAGCTGTGGTCTGTTCATACCTACACGGACAACAGCATCTATTCACCGAATCGCATAGGCTCGGGACAGGTTTGCAGCCTGGCCCTAAGAGACCCTGACACCGAAGTCAGAGCTCACAGTTGGGACATATTTATCTTCGTGTCGGGACATTCCTTCCGTGCCCTTCTGGCTCTCATCCTGACATAGCCCCTTTCAGAAACTAAAATTCCTGCCACCAGCTGACAGACAGAACATACCAATGGCCAAATCCTGAAACCAGCCAGCTGGACACACAGGCTGGGGAATATTCGGAACGACTTCTCAAAGCCAAGGGTTAGAGGGGATGTAGACATGCCCACTCACGGTGCCTTCTCCTTCCTGGCAAACAGCGTGTACGCCCTACCCTGCTCTCTCTGAACAAGAAGGCAATTTTCAGCAAAGAGCAAGGCAGGGAACAGCACGCTCTTGCACGCTCGTCCTTCACAAACAAAAGTGGTCGTTAAGGACGTGCACTTCAAGGGAATTTTTTCAGTGTAGCTAGATTTCCCTCTACCCAACGAGGCATCTACTCAAAAAAAAAAAAAAGCCAATCAAATATTTGTAAATAGAATCATCCACCCCTCCCTCCACAAGAAATGGGATTCTTTTTTTCTTAAGATACAGTTCTGGCTGGCCTGGAACTCCGCATATAGTCCAGGCCAGCCATGAACTTGGCGTGAACCTCCTGACCCTCTTTTCCTTAGTGTAGGATGATAGGCACAGATCACCAACACGGACAGAAGAAACATGATTCGTGGTTTGTTGGGGGAGGGGGAAGTTGTTTGTTTTTGTTTTTAAGATAGCTTGAGCTCACAGTAAAGTGAGGCCTTGAACTTCTGATCCTCCCTCCTGCTTCACAGACCCACACCCCACGTCCAGTTGATCGGGTGCTGGAGATGGACCCCAGGGCTCTGTGTGTGCTAAGCTGGTCCTCTATCAAGTGAGCTACATCTCCGGCCCAATTTCTAGACTGCTTAGCCACACTATCACTGAAATGCAACCTGTGTGTTAACAATTCAGAGCCGCCTCATTATCATTCTGATCTTTACTTAACAATGGTAACTTCTCCCTCTATCCCCCAAAATTTGACAAAGGGTCTGCTAACGACAATGTAAAAGCATGGGGCAGTCGGGAACGTTTCCTGCTCTTACAGAGGACCCAAGTTTGGTTCCCAGCACTAACGTGGTGGCCACAACAGCTTGTAACTAATGTTCCAGGGAATGTGATACCCTCTGGTGGTATTCTCAGGTACCTACATCCACATAGCACACACACACACACACACACACACACACACACACAGAGACAGTAATAAAAAACAAATTCTTAAAAAAATGCAAATGCACAAACTTGCTCCACTTTTAAGAAAATCTGCTATGGATTCCTCTTCCAATTTTTGTTTTGTTTGTTTGTTAACTTCTCAACCTTCTTTTCTTACAACCTAGCACACATGCAGTAGGCTTACATGGAACCACAGAACCTGGGACCTAGGCACCATGACACTCTCCTGATTTCCGCTTGCAAGGAAACATGGCCACTCTCTGCTTGAATCCTGATCCTGTATTCATTTGCATATGACGCTGACTAAGCTGAGTCACTGCTATATGAACCTAAAAGATTTGCTTCCCAGTGGCTGTCTGCAGATCAGGAAGGCAGACCTTAACTCAAGACACTGAAGGTCACGTGGGACAGATAAACTTTCAGGTGTTTTGGTTGTAGCTCTTGAAACAGTATTTGATAGTCCACAAGAATGACACTGGCAGCCCCAAAAGAGAGACCAACTGTGGTCAGTGATTTGGGTAGATTTCCAGAATGGAAGCCATCGTGGGAATGTTAAAAGATTAGCCAGGCTTGCTATTATTGCAGGCCTTTCCATCCCGGCTCATGAGAGCCTGGTCCAGGAGAACCGCAAATTAAAGGCCAGTCTGGGCAGCAGGGGGAGTTCAGAGCAAGACTGGACAACTTAGTGAGACCCTATCTCAAAATAAAAAAAGCAATACAGGGAACGGAGCTCAGTGGTCCAAGTCCTGCCCGACATGTGCAATATCAGAGCCTGGTTTCAAACCTGAGTACTTCAAACAATCTGAAATAAAAATAACTACCAAGCCTCAAGGTCTTGGCTAAGGGAGGTGGCAGCCCCAAGCTTCAAAATTATTAGCACAGCATCCTGATTAGCTTAGTAAACACTGCAGGATGGAGAACTGTTTGTACTTGCTGGTTGGGGTGGGCTGAGGCATCACCGAACTCAGAGAAGCTAGGGAATCCTGTCCAAAAAAGACGCTGAAAATACGTCAACAGAGAATAACCCCAAACAAATCCAACATCGGCTAGTTTAATCAGAAGACCTGCATCTTACAGTAAGTCGCTTGATACAAAGCCGGGCTTGGCCAGAGAAATCTTAGAAGCCCTGTCCTGCCAATCAACGAAATGAAGCAGTGCCTGGGCAAGTTTGAATATATTTTTAAGTGAACATATATCAATAGAAAGGCCAATACCGAAGCTCTCTCAGGCGAATCTGAGCGTCTAGCTACCGCAGCTTCTCAGTGAGCGCCTAAGAGCGCAGCCCGGTGGGTCTTAAGTAAGCAGACCCACACCACACGGATGCGTTTCCGGAGCCCCGCCGGCTGCTGCTCTAAACCCACTGGCACTCGGCCCCACCCCCAGCCCCAGAAAAGTCCTGACTTGCTCAGCCTGCACTTTTCCAGGTACAGGGTCTGGAAGCAAAGGGGTTGGGGCGGGGGAGGGGGCGAGGCCTGGAGGCGCCCCATTGAAAAGGGAGGTGAGGGACCCGAGACGTGTCCGGGAAATTCTGGTCCCCAGAAGGGTGCAGAGCCCGGCTGCAGGACCCAGGCGACAATCCTCCCCGCTGAATTCGGGCGTGACCGCCCCCGCACGGGGCACCGGCTCCCACTCGGTCTTTCCAGAAACGCTCCAGTCTCGAAAATGGGGATGGGGCGAGGGAACTGCGCGCCCCCCGCTGCGGCAACCTCTCCCGCGGGACCCACGCCCCGCGACACCGCTTACCTCGGCTCGCGCCCCCGCTGGTGGCAGTGGAGTTCCCGCAACCCATCGCGCCGCCCGTGGGGAAGCCGCGCTCCGGACCTCACCAATGCCGCAGGTCCGGGAGGTGGAGACCCAGATGGAGGCGGCACCAGGGACCAGGGACAGCCCTAGCCCCGCCCGGCACGGGGACCCCCACGGACCCCACCCGTCACCGCGGCAACCGCGGTGTCCACCAATCCGCAACCTCCTGCGCGCTCCTCGGCCGGGCATTGGTGGTGGTTCAGAAGGGGCGGGAGTTCAAACTAGGGTTTGGGGTACCAGGCCAAAAGCCGAGGGGCGTGGTCCGCAGCAGGATCACTAAGCTTGGGATGTTCACCAGCTCGCCCTCATTCCTCTTCGCCTTCCCCTTTCTTTACTCAAGGCCCCTATTCTCCGTCCCCAGGATGTGGAGAGGAGAGGAAGTGACAGTTTGGAGCATTGTGGATGTCTGTCTAGTGAGGCTAAGGTTAACAGCCTAAACGATGTTCAGATCTGAAGACGAAACCAAAACCTCTCCCTCTTTCGAAGAAGGCAGAGAGAGCTCCGTCCCCACAACCTCATCACCTAGAAAACCCAGTTGCCCCACCCCCAGGTTGGTCAGACCTACGTGTCTTCCCCCCAGATCGGTGTCTCTCAGATCTGAAACCAGAGTCTAACCCTGCTTTCTGATTCAAGGCAGAGCTACGAATGTTCGTGGTTTCGTTCAACATAGCCGTTGGGCACATGTAGCTGGGGTCACACACAACGCCTGCTCTGCCCCGTGACAGCTGGGAGATTCAGGAGCAATATGGAGATAGAGAATCATGGACGTGTGTAAGCTACTGGCTCAACACCTGTGCTCAGCCAACGCCAGCTGCTATCATGGATCTTGGATTGAGCAGGAACACAAATTCCCTGGAGGTGAGGGATCCTCCGTTTCTTACTGTCCTCCTGGCTCACAGTGGAGAATCAATAAACTCATTGAGACACCAGTGAATTCAAGCCAGGAAATAAAGCCCCATTTTAAACTCACTTGGTATTTATAGAGAGCCCAGGCTGTGCCAAGTTCTTTGCTAAATTCTGGGGTTACAAACATGAGGGAGACAGTCTCCTCAGAGGGATGATTATAAACAAATTAGCTACATTGTAACAGGGACACCAACAGAGTGATACAGAGAGGAAAGGCTAAAAAAATGTAGATAGGGCTGGGGAGCGTATAGACCCAAAGGTCAGGCAGGCTTCTGAGCAACCCCTCGGAGATTCCAGGACTTGGGAATCCTGTTGTTCAGGATACGAGAGACACTGCATCCTCCTTTTGAAGCTTAGGTATGTGTGACCTTGCGATGGGACGCTGTTTATTCTTGGACAAGATGAGGGCACTTTTCGGTTGGCTTCTAGTCTGTGGACAAAATACTTGGTAAGAAGCCATTCAAGAAACCAAGGTTTTAGCCGGGCGATGGTGGTGCACGCCTTTAACTCCAGCCCTCGGGAGGCAGAGGCAGGCGGATCTCTGTGAGTTCGAGACCAGCCTGGTCTACAGAGCTAGTTCCAGGACAGGCTCCAAAGCCACAGAGAAACCCTGTCTCGAAAAACCAAAAAAAAAAAAAAAACCCAGGTTTTATTTTGACTGATGATTAGGTAGGAATGTAGTCCATTTCGGTGAGGAAAGGGTGCTGACAGGAACATGAGACTGTTACCAGCCTTAAGGCCAACAGCCTTTCTCAGCCCGCTGGGCTTGACCCAAGGTGTGAGTCCAAGTTCATTGTCTCAGGCCAGTAAAGACTAAAGATGCAGACACTTGCCAGAGCAAGAAGGTAAACTTTATTAAGAGGTTTACAGAACAGTAAGAAATTAAGGAAAAATGAGGTAGGTTCCCAAGATACATTTAGTAAAAAGAGAAAGCAAAGCCCTCAATATTACCACTGGCCCTGCGGGTGTCCTCAATGATGTCATTTATTCTAAGGTCCCTCTGTCCTCACAGCTACTGAGAAGCGGTCTCTTGTCTCCCAGATGGCCTGGGATCTTGTGGAAGCTCCCCGACTTGTTTCCCAATGCTTTTTCTCATGGTTTGTCTGACTTGAGTCTTGTCCAGTCTTCTTTACTGTTCTGTACCTAGCTTACAAGTGTCTTTGTCATGTCCTTGGTGTTCCTGGCTTTACTGTTTAAACCTGGCATGAGTGAGCTCTCCACATCTCTTCCCACTGTAGCGTATGCAAGGAACTTGGAGCTTGCAGCATGAGCCCTTTTCCCTTTGACCTACTGTGAACTAAACTCCTGCTTCAGGTGGCCAGCCTCCCTAGCTTAGCAAAAAACAGACAGGAAAAGAGGTTGGGCTGTACAATAACCTCAGGGCCGACACCCAGTGACCCTCTTCCTACAGGAAGTCTCCACCTCTTAAAGATCCCACAACCTTTCAAACTGACACCCTCACCTGGAAACCAAACCCCAGTGTACTGGTTTCCATCTTGGCCCCCGTTGTCTTCTTTCAGAGGTCACCCCTAAACAAATCCTACGTTAGAGGAGGGGTATCACCCACCACCAAGGAGCCGGAAAAATGGCCGTTCCTTAGTCCTATGGTCTCTGACCGTGGGCTGCATTCCTGAGACACCCGCAAAAGCAGTGAAAGCAAACCACAAGGTCCAGAAACTGACTCAACACCCCCAGCTAAACCTTTGCAGTATCCACCCAGCATACTGGGCACAGAACAGCAATGCCACCCTAACTGAAGATAAGACCTTGAAGTAACCTTGTCCAAGTACCACCAGTGGAAACATGCCCTGTCCTGGCAATATGAACGGCTGCTGCCACCTTACCAACTGCTGACAGTTTGTTTCTGGTCTAGTCCTCCTGTCCTACATAGGAGGTGTATTCAGACATTCATTGTCCCTGCTTCCTGACAATAGCCAACCCAGAAAAATAAAATAAAATCTCACTTCCTAAAATTCCTAGCAAAATGACCTACTAGGAACCTAAAGTTCTCGTAAGTTCTTGCCACACAACCTCTGTGTGCTGTGTGTGTGTGTGTGTGTGTGTGTGTGTGTGTGTGTGTGTGTGTGTAAAGAGAGAGAGAATAAGCAGTCAGAGACCCAACTTGCCCAACTACAGATGCGTTCCTGGGGATCGGAGATCTTTAGCAGGAGGTAACTGACCCTGGTCAATATGGTGTGTTTCACCTGACAGACTACAGCTTGTGGAATCTTTCCATTCTTCTGACAGACGCTACTCTGTATCTCCTTCAAGGCCAGTCATTCCTCTCCGTGCTTCAGAGGTGACTGGAATGAGGCCATGTCAGACACTAGAGAGCCAACAGGGAAAAACCAGTCAAGTCCCCAGACAGAGAACTGACAGCTTCTGACAGCGCTCTACACAGGGGTCAAAATAGGATGTGTATTTAGAGAGGTCTGCTGGAGGAGAGCTCGGATCCAAGATCCACACAAGAAGACTCCAGGCAAAAAGAGGGACAGCTGAGAAGCTCTGCGGCTGGAGTGGGCTGAGTGTGATCCGTCAGTAGAAAAACGGCCAGGAGAACAGGCTGGAGGCCAGGTAAGGGCGGGGAGCAGGGAGCAGGGGGGGCAGGCTGGAGGCCAGGTGAGGATGGGGGGGGGGGGCGGCGGACAGGGAGCAGGGGGGCAGGCTGGAGGCCAGGTAAGGGCGGGGAGCAGGAAGCAGGGGGGCAGGCTGGAGGCCAGGTGAGGGGGGGGCAGGGGCGGGTGTGACCTCACGGGCCTGTGACTGGTGAGTTAGTCAAGGGTTTCAGAGGAGATAACATGAAAAGTTCCTAACAGATGAGCTATGGAGAGAAAAACCAACACTGCCCCCCCCCCCTCTTTTAGGGATTTGCTTGTTTTGCTGTATCTTGTCATTGTATAGAAAAAAGTTTGCTGCATTTGGATGCTTCTAAACATAGTCAAAAGAAAATTATTACTGCATGCCCCCTTGGCAGGCTTTTTTTACTTCAGTGGCAGGCTTTTTTCTCCGTGATGTTTGAGCGTGAGGAGATAAATAGCCGCCCAGAGAATTCTCACTCCCTGTTGATTCCGCATTCAAAGCAAGAACTTGAACCCAGAACCTCCTGCTGCTTGTGCGCTCAGACCGAATGACCGCTTATAGTGAGAAAGGGAAGCAAAGGGCACACACCCAGGCACGGAAAGTCCTCCCTTGGCGTCCCCTCCACTGCAGCAAATCCGATCAAATCACCACTTCCTGGTCTCCTTACATCTCCTCTAGCTCCATGGTTCTCATGGGCAAAATGGAAGTGCCTGTCTGGGCGATGAGGCCCCTATCCATCTCTCTCCTCCCTCCATCTTCTTCCCGCCATCTTACAGCTCCTTAGACACCTCAAACCTGCTTACCACTGGCCCTCAGCACAAAGTGGTATCTCCTGCCTGGAGTGCTAGCCCCTCTCTTCTCCACCTAATTCCTTCCTGCTTTACTCAGGAGTGACTTCTTCAGATAAACTTTGCCTCACCTTCCCAGTGACAGCCTTGAATGCGAGGGCCGTACTCATTCCTGCCAGTACGGGACTGCCTCTCCCGGTGGACAAGATCTTTGTTAATAAGGAGGCCAGGCTGGCTCACTTCACTGTGGTCTCACTAGCACTTTGCCGATAGAGGAATGCCTCTGTCTGGTGCCCACCAAGGTCACCTTCTAGAGGAGGCAGACAAGAAAACAGATAAATAAAAATGGTGACCTTAAACCTCCTTGTTGGGACGAGTTCTTGGAAGGTATTTGGCCACACGCAGGGCTGAGATTAGAAACACAAGGTCAGAAGGAACCTCAGGTAGTGATGGGGACGTGTAATGAGCCACCTGAGGATTCAAGGAACTAGACCAGTGGTTCTTAAAGCTCCTTGGCTCTGTTTTAATCAAATGCACACACACACACACACACACACACACACACACACACACACACACACGTATGCACACACCAGCAGAATCCAGGATGCCAGGCTTGGAACCACAGCACAGGTAGATCCCGAGAACGGAGAAAAAGGATCTGAGAAGGAAACCAGAGTTCTGACATGAAGTGATGGCTAGGATTCCATTTCAATCCCACGATGTCTAGGTGCTTGTCTATTTTGTCCACATAGTTTGTCATTTCAGAGAGAAAGGGAGTAAAGCAGAGACCCAAACCAGGTCACAGACCCCCTTGCAAAGCACTTAATGGGAACCGTAAGAGTCCAGCTCTTAAGAATCCCTCCCAGGGTTCAATTAAAGACACCACAATAAGCAAAGGGAGCTAAAAACGTCAGGGCTAAGAAAACTACTCATAACCCAATCTTCTATGCATCTTTCTTTATTCTTCTTCCTCTGTTACAAATGTCCCCAGTCATACACACCCTTATAACCAGCAATTCCCCAGCCCTCACAGGTCCAGGGCTCTAATCTAATTCTTTTTCCCCATAAAAATCAGATAAGAATTTTCACACACACACACACACACACACAGAGAGAGAGAGAGAGAGAGAGAGAGAGAGAGAGAGAGAGAGAGAGATCCGTGACTGTCATCTCAAAGGTGAGTGTAACTTAGTGCTTGTCTAGTGAACTCCTTAATGGAGACAGTTAGTTAAAGGGATAAAAATCATCAGGGAATTTTAAAGGGGTAGGCTAGTGCATTAAGCTACATTTTTAGGTAGTTAGATAAAGACATAAAAAGTTTATTTTCAGTAAGATTACAAATAGGGCACAGATTGTTTTTTAAATCAGTGCGCCCCTTTTTTTTTTCTCCCAGCATGCACAGAGGATATTGGGTAATCGGGCAACCTAC